TTGTCTTTCTCAAAATACTAGGACATAAAATTAGAAAATAATAGGATGCACATTCAAATACAGTGTCTTTGAAAAGACACAGAGAGACACTATATCTTATTTCAACTACCGGGAGGTCAAGGTGACATGAAAAATAAGACAGATTGTAAAAGCAAATTAATAAAATGGCAAGCATAATGAAAGAGAGAAGTAGTAAGAAAAGCCTTATCAAAGGATAAATCAACTTACCAAAAAGTAAGGGAGAGTTTCATCAGCTAAGGAGGTCAAGTTTAACGAACGTTGAATAAATTTACTAAAGAAGAATATTCCTACAACAATGGACTAGTAAAGAATAGAATTGTCTGATTTAATTGTACGCTAGCATATTCATTGTTCAAAAGTGAATAAAATATATGTGCCACTATAACAAATATCTAACTTGAAAAATAACCCACTTCGAATTTTATTGAACATATATAACATTATAGTGAAATACCTCGTCAAATAACCTGAAAGCACCAACGAACTAAATGGTGCATAGAGATGTTTAGTTAACTTTTAAACAAATCATGACGCCATTTATACGTATATGCAACCAAAAAGGAAGTAGTCTAGATTATTGTGGTTATAATTACTATCACAGTTGAAGAAAGGAAATGGAAACTCAAATGCTAACAGTTATGGAAATGGATAAACCTACTGGAATATGTCCTTCTGAATAAGCTTTATCTAGTGACTGTTTTCCGCGGATGAAAAAGACTTGACACAAATAAGGCCAGTAGATCGTGGATTGATAAGTGAATCCATAATACAATGACTACAGTAGATTAACTTATATTTGATATAAAAAGAATAAAACACTTGTTATTTGTACTCAAGTACTGGTTTGTAGGGACTTTTTTGATTGGTTCCAGGAATTCATCATGAGCTGACATCGGTTGGAGAACCACTGGAAGACCCGGGATTACTGAAGAGCTGTTTCATCCTAGTTTGGGACTCTTCATCAGTACAGACCCACTGAGGTTGTTGTTTTTATTGCTATCATAAAGAGAAACAAAAAAAATACGTTAAGTGTCAAACAATATAATTTTATGGTACAAAACCAATAATCCAAATATTTGTCATTACTAGACTAAATAGTGGGAGCTTGGCTATTCCTATGTTCGGGAAAGTAAATTATGCTAAAAGCAGGCTACATTAACAGATAATTCATTTTATTCGTATAATGTTGACCTATTCACAACAAGCTATGACATCCATAAACCAATCTGAGATAGCTGTTCTGAGTACTCAAGTAAACCCCAGAACCACAAATATCGGGTACGGTTTATCTAAGCAAGAGATGGTAGTTCCTTTTTTGTATGAGTCCTTGGGGAGATTAGAACTTATTGTAAGTTACATCACCGCAGTAAACTATGAACATTCCTTACTATCCCGCAAACTCGAAAAACGATATTAAGTAACCAAAAATGTGTTATGTTAATTTCACTGACTGACTTCCGGAACGTCTGTCAACACTTTATTTATTTAAACTACATTTAAATCTACACATGTGGGTATTAGTGTGGTGATGTAATGCATACAATGTGTTCCAATGGAATATGATTCTCACATATTCCCACAGTTCATTATATATATATATAGGTTTAATTAATGAAAAATAAAACGTGATCTCCGTGTCTTGCTTTCTGTTGTTACATTAGGATTCTTTTTAACACTAACTGTCTTATTTTAACTTAACATACACAGTTTTTTAGATTACAAAAACATCTTAACAGCTTTTTACGGAAGCATATACGAAAGGAGACAGCATATACTATGTACTACACATTTTGAGATTTTGTTACAGACAAGTTGGATTTTTTTTGTTTTTGCTGCGCATTACTCCCCATTCTCAATCAGTCACTCTTAGCACAGTTACTGTTTTCTATAAATCTTTAAACTGAACATAAAATCCATTTCATTCATTCCACTTGACCTGTTGGCCTCTGTTAATTTGCAGAAGACAAAAACTATGGTAATTCATATACTGCCTTGTTCTGTTAAGCTTTCCATTAATTGACCGCTTCATAGAAGACCTAGTATACCGCTTGGAGTATAGCCAACAACGCCAAACATAAATGACCGAATCCGTTGGTACCGAAACTAACCTTCTGGAGTTGGAAAGACTCATCAGTTGGAGGACGCATGATACCAGCAAGTGAAAGCTTCCAAGAAGCCAGTCGGGAAATGAGTCACCTTTCAATGAAACCAAAAGTAAGCATAGTAAGAAGGAATCTTCAAACTATGTCTGAGTCTAGCAAAGCTATGGAGATTGTAGAAGAAATCATGAGATATTGTACAGAAGTGTTAGGAACCCTTGAGAGTAGATAGAATGGAAGTGGATCCTTCAAATTATTACTTTGAGTCTATAATCCACTCTGACCACGTAAACGTCAGCCACTAGCAAGCAGAAACGCAGTGGCAACCATGATGTCACTAATAACACCCAAATATTTCATACAGTGGCAACCAATCTCCTGCAGGATCATGACAGTTAGATTCAACTCAAAAGGCAGGAAAGTTACAATTATGCAATCCGGCGCACCTAAAACGAATGCTGATAAAGAGATGGGAGACTTACAGAGGTAACCGCAAGCACTGATCGATAAGACAGATGATGATACCAAAATTTTAATAGGTGACATTAGTGCCAGCCAAACTAGAGTTGACAACACACAAAGAGAGTTCGTCCTATATGGATGGGCGCTTGATGAAATAAATCAGAACGGAGATATCTTTGAAGGCATATCCATGTTTGATGATTAGAGGTAGTGAGTGTAATTAAAAAGATAAGCATAAACTAACTTGGGTCTCATCAGATGGACACAAAATGTCAGAGATTTCATACCAATCTCAAAAATATGAAGACAGATTCCTAAGCCCTATATGGAAAAGAGAAGCAGGCGTGGACTCGGATCACTATCTAGTGCAAGAACTCCCCCCCCTAAAAAAGAAACAAAATGAAAGCCTTCATAAAAGCTGTAGATAAGCCAGATGTCCAGTACTCCTTGGTTTTCAATGGTTCTCTAACTGATATCAATCCGTGGTCAAACTCGTAAAAACAAATTGCATCCTTACAAACCAATTCTTGAAAGTTTCTTCTTTTCTCTACATTGCTTGCGTTCTAAATCGGTCATAGCACTTCATACTTGGTTTTAGTAGGAATAGTCTGTTTATATTGAATCTACAACTACCACCAACTAGGCGATCAGTAAACGGAGGTGAGTAAGGGCTTATGGGGAACTGTCATCTGAATTGATAACAACCAGGAATGTCCGCTTTACCAATTTCTCTTTAACTTCATCATAGATATGGTGATGGAAGTATCTTTAACTGAATTTAACGACTTAGGAATCGACTTGTTACCAGGGAATAGTCGTATGGACTTCGAATATGCAGATGAAATAGTCCTGTTAGGGGAGGATGCTGACGAAATTCAGAGTCTTCTGAACACCTTGAGCTGTAATCTACGAATGTTTGGCATGCGATTCGCTCCCGCCAAATGTAAGATGCTGCTACAGAACTGGACTACGTCAACTCATAGCTTAGTGATAGGGAGTGAAGTGATAGAACATGTTGACCACTTCATCTATTTGGGAAGTTGTATCAGCACCAACGGATTGATTGGCGACGAAATCTCAGAGCGATTCCACAAAGCTCGAGCTGCTTTCGCTGACTTACACCATCTCTGGAGTAAGCGTGACATCCGGCTATCAACCAAGGGACGTGTGTACTACTCAGCAGTTCGCTCCATCCTTCTCTATGGCTCTGAAACATGGCCAATACGCGTTGAAGACATGATGTCTGCGATCTCTTTCTCACGTCAGGTGGTTTAATAAGGTAAGTAATGCTGACGTTGGGCGTAGTGTTGGGCAAAGAAGTAAAATCAATCAATGAGGCAATAAAATTACATAGATTGAGATGGCTAGGTCACGTTCTGCGCATGCCTAACCATCGCCTCCCCGACGGGCATTACTAGCTGATATAGGTGCAGGTTGGAAAAGAGTAAGAGGTGGCCAAACAAAAACATGCCTCATCAATCCATGAAATCCTTGACAGTTAAACTCAGTCAGGTAGGGAGATGCAAACTTCCGAGTTGGATCCCTCGGGACTCTAGGAATCAATGGTTGGAGAAAATAGGTGACATGGCTCAAAATCGTTGTCAATGGCGCAGATGTATTCAGTCTCCGTAATCTTTCATATTCCTTTCTGCCATTACCCATTCTGTTTCACTCTTATACCCGTCAAACTCTATTGATTCTCTTCACTCATCTTCTTGTCTACCTTTGTGTGCTATTTGGAACGTGGCAACTCGAACTGCTGCACTTCGGTGCCAAGTTCTATGTTGAATCCAGACAGACAGGCAGAGTTGGCTAGAAATCGAACCAATATTTGATAGACATTATACCAGTGAAACACCAAGATACCGTGATAATCATCTAATTTCAACTTATTATCAGCGTCAAAGAGACGAAATGTGACAAACAATTATTGCTTTCTTCGCTAATCCCCTTTGTAAAAAGACCACTTACGCAAAACAGTACTGACCACATATTTTACGCACATAGAGATTACAAAACAGAAAACATCTAAATTAATATTATTTTTTCTTAAACAAGATTATCACAGTGCCAGTGGTTAGCCAGAAAATAAGGCTTGAAAAAGGTATTCAAGTTAGATAAACATAAATACACAATACACATAAATTTCAATTCAAAATAAACAAGATATTAAAAATATATTGATAAAAAAAGAAACAAAACACACCACAACATTCAAAATATAAAAATTTGTCAGGAAAAAATAGGGTGTCTTAAATAAGCGGAGAGAGAGAGGAAGAGAGATTAAGTCAATTCATATAATAACACTCAAAAAGATAACAGACCAGCAGAACATATCGAACAGGAATACAATAAATCAAAGAGATGAAATAATGGAATTAATTTAAACAAACAATGATGCCAAGAAAATCACAACTTTCAAGAGAAATTTGTTTTACACTTTTTCATTTCGTTGGTTATTTGATGTATATTTACTAGTTGATTACGTATAGGCATATTCTTGTATGGGCTTTGTGTCATCACCTTTTGAAAACGATGATAATGTTGAATCAATTGGGCAAGTAACGCCTTAAAAAAACAACAAAAGTAACTTGGCATATAGAGCATATATAAGGATTTGGAAGAAAAGTAGGCATCCAGTTTAATTGATTTGATATATGAATGAATGAAACAAATGCAAATAGTATCGTTTACAGCACAACCCACCGGATAAAATTTAATTTTGTTTACCTGATTGACTGGTTTCAACAAAGAACTCTGCAACGATGTTCAGCAGTTCGAGCAGCCACACTTCATGCAGCACACAAAGCAAGAGAAGAAGGTAGAAGAAATGCATAATGCAGACAGTAAACAGAGTTGTGAGACAAAAGAATACTAGTAACGAAGAACAATATAGTTTCATTGGGAATCACAAAGAGTGGATGCATCTGCGCCATTGAGAAAGATTTTGAGCCATATCACCAATTGTTTCCAACCATTGGGTTTTACCGTCCCGAGGACTCCAACCAGGAAATCCACACCTTCCTACGTGGCTTAGACTAACTGTTGTAGATTTCACTGACTGGTGCCATGTTTTGGTTTGACCACCGCTAGCCTTTTTCCAACCTGACCCCCTATGTCAGCTAACATTGACCGTCGAGGAAGGCGATGACTAGGCATGCGTAACACATGTCCTAACCATCTCAGTTGATGTAACTTCACAGCCTCGTCGATTGACTTCCCCTCCTTACCTAGAACTCGACCGATGCCTAACCTCAATATTGCTCACCTTATTATACCACTTCACACGGGAGATAGAACGCAGGCACCTATGATCAAGAGAGCTAGCCACGCTTTTCATGTCTTCCACTCTGAATGGCCAGGTCTCACAGCCATAAAGGAGGACGGAGCGGACTGATGAGCAGTACACCCGCCCTTTGGTCGATAGTCAGCCGGATATCACGTCTACGCCAGAGACAGCGCAAACTGGGATATGCGAAACGAGCCCCCTGTATTCGTGCTGAGATTTCGTCGAGATCAACCTGTTGGCACTGGCTGATGGTACTTTCCAAATAAGTGAAGCGGTCAACGTGCTCTACCACTTCACTCCCTATTTCTAAACTAGGAGTCAGTGTAGTCCAGTCCTGTAACATCATCTTACATTTGGCGGGAGCAAATCGCATGCCAAACATTCGTAGATTGCAGCTCAAGGTGTTTAGAAGACTGCATTTTGTCAGCGTCCTCGCCTAAAAGGACTATATCGTCTGCATATTCTAAGTCAACGAGAATACCCTGGTACAGTCAATCCCTGAGTCGCTGAAGTCACCTACGGTTAAGTCCATTAACACATCTATGATGAAGTTGAATAGAAAAGGAGATAATGGGTATCCTTGACGGACACCACTGGTCGTCATCAGTTCAGATGACAGCTCGCCGTAAGCCCTCACCTGGCTGTATGAGTACGAGTAGAGTGCCTTAATCAGTGCAATATTTTCTCGGAATTCCCTTTACAGCCAAGCATCTCCAGAGAACTTCTCGATCGACAGAGTCGAATGCTGCCTTTAGGTCAAGAAATATAATGACTGTGGACGCCGGTAGGAATGCCTATGTTCTAGAATCTGTCGGAGGGTGAAGATATAATGCAGACAGTAAACAGAGTTGTGAGACAAAAGAATACTAGTAACGAAGAACAATATAGTTTCATTGGGAATCACAAAGAGTGGATGCATCTGCGCCATTGAGAAAGATTTTGAGCCATATCACCAATTGTTTCCAACCATTGGGTTTTACCGTCCCGAGGACTCCAACCAGGAAATCCACACCTTCCTACGTGGCTTAGACTAACTGTTGTAGATTTCACTGACTGGTGCCATGTTTTGGTTTGACCACCGCTAGCCTTTTTCCAACCTGACCCCCTATGTCAGCTAACATTGACCGTCGAGGAAGGCGATGACTAGGCATGCGTAACACATGTCCTAACCATCTCAGTTGATGTAACTTCACAGCCTCGTCGATTGACTTCCCCTCCTTACCTAGAACTCGACCGATGCCTAACCTCAATATTGCTCACCTTATTATACCACTTCACACGGGAGATAGAACGCAGGCACCTATGATCAAAGAGAGCTAGCCACGCTTTTCATGTCTTCCACTCTGAATGGCCAGGTCTCACAGCCATAAAGGAGGACGGAGCGGACTGATGAGCAGTACACCCGCCCTTTGGTCGATAGTCAGCCGGATATCACGTCTACGCCAGAGACAGCGTAAACTGGGATATGCGAAACGAGCCCCCTGTATTCGTGCTGAGATTTCGTCGGAGATCAACCTGTTGGCACTGGCTGATGGTACTTTCCAAATAAGTGAAGCGGTCAACGTGCTCTACCACTTCACTCCCTATTTCTAAACTAGGAGTCAGTGTAGTCCAGTCCTGTAACATCATCTTACATTTGGCGGGAGCAAATCGCATGCCAAACATTCGTAGATTGCAGCTCAAGGTGTTTAGAAGACTGCATTTTGTCAGCGTCCTCGCCTAGAAGGACTATATCGTCTGCATATTCTAAGTCAACGAGAATATACCCTGGTAACAAGTCAATCCCTGAGTCGCTGAAGTCACCTAGGGTTAAGTCCATTAACACATCTATGATGAAGTTGAATAGAAAAGGAGATAATGGGCATCCTTGACGGACACCACTGGTCGTCATCAGTTCAGATGACAGCTCGCCGTAAGCCCTCACCTGGCTGTATGAGTACGAGTAGAGTGCCTTAATCAGTGCAATATATTTTCTCGGAATTCCCTTTACAGCCAAGCATCTCCAGAGAACTTCTCGATCGACAGAGTCGAATGCTGCCTTTAGGTCAAGAAATATAATGACTGTTGGACGCCGGTAGGAATGCCTATGTTCTAGAATCTGTCGGAGGGTGAAGATATGATCAATACACCCTCTTCCTGGTCTAAAGCCTGGCTGGTTCTCTCGTGTTTGTTCCCCTCGAGCACCACAATGCATGATTATTGAGCCTAAGACTTTAGATACCATATTAGTCAAGCTAATCCCTCTGTGATTATCACAGGAAGACTTGTCTCCCTTCTTGTATATCAGGATAATCAGTGACTTACACCAACCCGATGGGACTTCTTCTGATTCCCAGACGCTGCTAAGTACCTCAGTTAACGTAGACAGTAAGCTGTCTCCACCGTACTTAAATACCTCTGGAGTCATTCCATCAGGTCCCGCTGCTTTGCCTAGTTTCAGATTGGTGACAGCCTTAGTAACCTCAGTTAGAGACGGAGGACCTGTGTCTATATCCCATTCAGGGAGGTGTTGGATGCTCGGAAGGTTGAGCGTGGCTGTGGGCCAATTAAAAATGCTCTTTCCAACGATCCAGTCGTCTATCCTGGGAGCTAATTATAGTGCCATTTTTTTCCGAGATTGTCTCACTGATGATTTGTCTTCTCCCACCTGTTTCCCTGATGAGTCTAAAGAGTTGCCTGGTGTTGCCTATCCTCGAAGCTTTCTCCATCTCTTTGGCTTTTGTCACCCACCACTGTTCACGGTCCTTGCGGAGACTTTTCGGAAGTTTCCTTTTGTGCAGCTTTCGCTCCTCATTGAATTCGGAGCTCGCCGGAATAAGTCTTCTAGCATCTATCAGTTCGGATGAGGCGGTGGAGATCCAGTGGTTTTTACTCACCTTTGGGTTTACCTTATTCACAGCTTTTACAGCTGTATCTATGGCTGCCTGGATATTCTTCCAAGCTTCTTCAGGGTGAGCACAGCTGTCGAACACAGATATGTGTTTAGCTAGTTCTTCCTCAAATAGGGATTTAGTTTCCTGATCGAGCTGGGGACGTGATGGTTTTACCGCCAGCTGTTTCCTACGTCCGTTCAGTCGTAAGCACACCCGAGCGCGGACCAGTGCATGGTCGGTATCTACACACGTGTTCCAGAAGGAGCGACAATCTCCTACCGACCCACGCCAACGATAGCTTATTGCTATGTGGTCTATTTGTGTCCAGCGTTGGTTTGATGAAGGGGGTCTCCAAGTCAAACAGTGTCTCTCCTTGTGTTTGAAGTTAGTGCTTACAAGAAACAAATGATTATCAGAACAGAACTGTAGGAGACGGTCACCGTTGTCGGTTCGCTGGCACGGAACTCCATAGGTGCCACCGACATCCTTCTCAGATTGACACAATTTCCCTACTTGAGCGTTAAAGTCACCAGCTAGAACGACTATGTCTGAGCGTTTAGCCTTTCGCACCAAACTAGACAGCTTTTGGTAGAACTCATCCTTCGTTTCATCTGAACTGCAGTCAGTGGGGGCGTAGGCGGAGATTACGAAAAGGCATCGGCGAGTAGTGCAGTCCTTTCTCCTTTTTACTGATCCGTTCAGACGGACAGCACACATTCGGCTATCTACCGGGATCCAGTCAAGCAATGTCTTTTCTGCCCTAGTACTCAAAGCTATCCCTACGCCAGCTAATCCTCGTGAACTAGCTGTGGCATCTCCTGACACCCTCAAGGTGAATTTTGCAGATTCAACCTGTTGGCCAGGTGGGGTTAGGTGAATAACCACACTTGGGTCTTGTATGCGTGTTTCTGAAACACAACATACATCAATGGCTCGGGATGCCTGTTGTCCTATTTGGCAAAGTGTCCTAACATTAACAACATGAAATTGGTGGCGTGGCTTTAGGAGACTATCGGTGGTTTTTTGGCTTCCGTCGTTTTTAGTGGACACAGAGTGAAGAATGAGTGAGGAGCCATCAAGTAGAGGAGTTGCATCAGTGGGAGGAAGGCAAGGTAATAAAGATGAAGATGAAGACAAAGATAATTGAGGATTAGAGAGGTTTTGTGTGCATATCGGATTGTGAGGGCGTTTGTTACTTCCCGGCTGCCCACACCGTGGAAGTCGGTTGTGTGACCGCAGAGCCCAGGGGACAGCTGCTTGAGGCCGGTCACACGCGGCCTGTGTTTGTTCGTTCTCTTTTGTTTGGTGTGCCTCAGTAGCATACTTATCACTCCTGCCCTGTGACACGGCAGCAGGAAGCGCGGTCGTTGTTAATCCGGGCCACGGCCGATCCGGCATGAAATTTTGTGATTTTGTATTGGTCATGATGTTGGATTGGGACGACGAACTAATAACGTTCAAAACGACACTAGGGGACGGCTTTACTTGTGAAGAGTGGAGAGACAGAATAGCTGGCATGTTGGTCATCTGAGAGAAACACCTCACTGCTGTTAAATCCCTATTCCCCAGCAGTACGGTTTTGCCCACAGACGCCAGAATAGTGTTAAAAAAATTCTTACACTATGCCAGCAACTGTTTTTAGTCTAATTGCTATCCTAACAACTTTCCTGGCAAGGTAGGACCTGCCTGTCTGTCTGGATTCAACATAGAACTTGGCACCGAAGTGCAGCAGTTCGAGTTGCCACGTTCTAAATGGCACACAAAGGTAGACAAGATAAGTGAAGAGAATCAATAGTTTGACGGGTATAAGAGTGAAACAGAATGGGCAATGGTAGAAAGGAATATGAAAGATTACAGAGACTGACCTATAGGACCTGCAGGAAAAACAGTTCCAGCCAGTGTAGCTTGTTGGGTCATTGCGATGTGCAAGCCTAAGCACCACGTCAAGGTAGCAGCTATCGGTCGGGATTTCTATTGGCACATCAAAATAACCCAACAACCGTTAAATCTGACTTCTATAGTTTCTGTTGTACGAAAACGGCTTCAACCAAAATGGACATGTAACCCAGTCTTATGTGAAGTATGCCGTGAGCAGGCACCATATCAAACTAACGCACTAACAAGAATATAATGTGTAAGCGACCAGTAGAGCCAAGTTCCTACTACATCAAATTTTAAGTTCAGATTCATGTCAAGTAGGCGCATGGATGTGTTATATCTTACCTTTGCTCGTTATCCTGGTAAAGCTTGAAGCCCTATGTCCCACTCGGAAGCAGAAAAAACGCTTGATGAAGACAGGTATTAGTGGTTACATCATACTGTAACAAGGTCAACTGGCAAAGTTAAACCATAGGCTCCCAAGGGATACGAATGCACGAGTGACCCTGGGCCGGTCAAACATAAAAATAGGTAACTTCTGCACAAAAATGACGACTATTTACAAGAAAATGCACGAAAATACATTAAACAGGGTATTATTCTCTAGCATGACTTAAAAATACGTCCCAGTTGTAATGTGGCGTATCAGTTTTTAAGTTAGACCAGTTTCTGTATGTGTATTCATCGAGGTGATTTAAGGTCAACTTTTATGTAACCCGTTAATCGCTTTATCCTGTTTCGCAGTTTTCCCCAAGAGCCCTCGTTTGATTTACTTTGGTTTTCAGTAAGAGGACAGATGACTACTTACTAGGAAAATGTGGATAATAAAACAAAATAAATTAAATAATACCAATTCCAAACCTATCCTTCTTCTTAATCCTAACCTTAACCCAAACTATAACCCTGACAAACTAACAACACATTGTCCAAACAGTACTTAAAAACATCATCTGGGTGAAATTTGCTCTTCAGCCGGTGAATTAAGTTCATATTTGCGTTATAATAATGACGGCTGTCGTTAGCCAACGACTAGCATGCGTTCATGGTCATGGGAGTGTTCGCACCCCTGGGACCCTATAACTTAACTTCGTCCGTCGACTACTCCAGAGGATTGCGGCTACTCGTGTTATTCGAACAATGTACGTGTTTATGACAAGTATATACAAGTGCTACTTATTAGTTTTTTAATCTTCTATTTGATAATCACTTGTAAGAAATGTCAGTAACTCCTAATTTATGATTGCATGTTTCAACTATGTACTACTTCCATTATCTATTTGGAAACATTCAAATACACACTAGACACGATAAACAAAAAAATATGAAAGGTAACTAAGCCTATGGCTGTTCATTTACGCAAAATTGGGCAATATCAACCCAATAGACACGCAACACACCGGATACGAGCAGTTAGAGATTACGCTATCATAACAGATAACAAACTAACTTGAAATATCTGTGTGCCTAGAGTGAAATTAGCGAATTCCATCATAACTTCATCGTGTATTTTCTCAATTGAATTCTTCCAATCGATATTAAATCCTTTTACAATTCGTGTAACACGGGCTGGAATGTGTAAGAAGAGAAACACGTAAACAAACACAAGCGCAAGCATAAGACTACAGTAAATTACCTAAAGAATACTACATGACATAGTAACAATCATTATGAAAGATGATCTTATAGCTTAACTCTATCAAACATAAAAGTGACTAAATACGATCATAGATTATCAAGTATGTGTGTGCATGTATTTATGAGAATCTGAATATGTCGGTAAACAAACAGTCAAGTGTTGGATTAAGAGAGACTAAAATAAAAACAGAAGTACACAGCAAACCTCTGATTACACAGTACTAATCAGTATTAATTTTTAACTTGGCTTTTAGCCATATTAAAACTGATAGGTATCTGATACCTGATATTCAGCAGAAGTTTAAAGTTTCTGACCTTAAGTTCCGCGATTAGTTCTAGAACATTTAAATAATTTATTTAAGCAAACACCTAAATGACAGTAATCAAGCAAAAATACGCTGATCACTAACGAATACACAGAGTGACACTAAAAGAGTAAGCTCAAATAATAACGACAATTGGAAAACATACCTTCCTCACTACGAATAGTCTGTGATGCTTCAGTTTGATCTGTTGGTGAATGCTTTCCACTGGCTAATCTAGTTTCTACATCACGAACGAAAGATATCAAACATCCGAAATATGGTGATAAAGCCTCATCAATATATGCTGTTGTATACTTTCCTACAGACTCCTGGCATCGAACAACTTCTAGAGAATCACCAGCTCCGTGTTCCTATAAAATGAATCAACATATTTTCTAAAATTTACGAAGCATCTAAACTGAAGAAGTCTGTGAGTAGACTGTCCAAAAAAATGACTTTTATTGCTATACTTAACCTGCAAAAATAAGCAGTAATTTATGATACAGTGCTGAAAAATGTTTTCCTATTTACAAATAATACAGACGAATTCATACATATGCGCACACACACACGCACACTAAAGGAAAGCAAAATCACCACGAATTTATCTAAAAAGTTTTAAAAGCTACTAGTCTTCAGCAGTCTGGTAGTAGTATATAAGGAAATTCTTCATCTACTGAATGCTTCATAGCTGAATATCAACAGACATGCACTACCACTACTACTACTACTCTAAATTTTGTAATTTTTCGAGGATGGTGAGAAATATACCTACTGGATGAAAATAGAGACTTCGCTACTTTACATTAACCCTGTTATTCCTTGTTATTCCGCCAAACCTGAGTTAAAAAATAAATAAGTAAATAATAATACAATTCAGTCGCCTAGCGAAGTTTCCCAATATGTTAAGCCATATAAAAAATTAGTGATATACCATACTAGTTTTATAATTCTATGAGCTTCAGATTGACTGGTAGGGGTTTCAACATCAGCCTAGTATCAAGTGACAAAAAAGACTATGGTAATATTGAGTGTTTAGGATGCATTGTTTGAAGATTAAATAATCCGTTCAATTGGTCACGCCTTCATAATAAATTTAAAAGAAATAAATAATACAGCTAACTATCAGGTATACTAGAGCTTTAACTTACAGTTAGTACACTTATAACTAAGTCGTAATTATTGATCAAAAAGATGTGTGCCAATTTCGGACGAGAGAATGTCTTAGCCAAAGAATTTAGTACATGTTCAAACTGAGTTTGTAACTGAGCCAAACGACTAAGAATACGAGGATCAAGACCAGGCTTTACACTGGGATAATTTAAGTGATTTTGCGACGATGATAATGATGATGAAGAAACAGAGTGTAAAGAGTATTGTAACTTAGAATTGTCTGAACTTTTCGATTTACCGACAGAGTCATCAAAAAGTGGAGCTAAACGAGAAAAATTGAAAGAAAGAAACAGATAATCGAAATAACATGAGAACAGAAGTACAATTACATGAAACACAATTATTTAAACAATCATTGGTAATATAACCAAGTATTCAGAGTATACAATGCTTTGATTGTTGAAATCCGTAAGTTAGGTAAGCAACAAGTATGCCTGAATTCATCTAGTAAGTTCAAATTTATGCAACATCCGTTAGCTTTATGTATGACTGTCAAGTCTACGGAGAAGTTTCTTTTTGCATACAGGAACTATAACAAAACTGAGAAATGGTAAATACAAGTTGAAACATTGTTAATACCTCTCACAGAAGATTAAACGCTTAAATTACGGCAACATAAAGTTAGCAGAAAGAAATTCATAGTTTCCACCATTCCTATCAACTTAATTCGAACTGCCATTTAAACATAAAAAGCAAGATTAAGCGTCATTGGCATAGCGGTTGAGACTCTCGCCGACTATGCACAGGGTCCGGGGTTCGATTCCCTGCCGACGAACACCTGATATCTATTATCGGTCCGCAAAATTTGGGCTACCGATATCACATGCTGAAAATTCCATACTTGCGCCAGAAATACGGTGTGGAATCAAGCTGTAATCAAAAATAAAAAGATTAAGCGACCATCAACTACAACCGGAGAACGACTAATCATGTGAAAAGACACAGCAAAGAAAGAAAATGAACAGCATATAAAAACATTTAGCAATGCTTATGACAAAATACCAGCAACGTGGTCTCCATAAAGAAGAAGAAAAATGGCGCCAAGAGATATTAATTTGAAAACAAATAGATAGAATGTCTTAAATGAGCATTGAAACTCAACTCGCAAGATTCTTTTAGCACCAATGTCGAGTCAGTGCTTCAATACAGTTCAAAGACTTCATCCACGCATCACCAAAAACCCTTCTAACAGGCTGCACACTTTAATCAGCACTAGCCTCCTGTGTTGGCTTGATAATGATGATCACATAACAGGCTTAGACTTGGAACGAGGTGAAAAAGTTGGCAGAAGACAGAAGGCAATAGAGGTGCGCAGCTGAAGCCCTATGTTCCTCCAGGAATTAAGGATATAATAACAATAATATACATAACAGGCTTGATATGATAAGTAACAAGTAATCCTGATGGCCAAGAACCAATCAATAAGTTGTTTGCTTAACGAAAACGTAGAGGGAAATGGAGGTGGATGGATTGGAAATACACTAAGGAGACATTCAAGTGATATCACATTCCAGGCTCTCGAATGGAATCGGAGTGGGAAATGACAGTTTGGGTGCCCGAGAGATGTGGAGAAAATCATGAGACGAAGAAACGAAAGATTGTAGGGATTTGTGAAGCCATATGAAAAAGATAGCAGGAAAAGATATCATATGCATGTACCGTACTGAAACTCAGTGTTCAACCCACAAGCCAATGAACGAATAATAATAATCCCAATATATAGCTGATATGGTCGACATTTAATCCCACAACTAGTGAGAGAAATTATATGCCAAAACTTTTATTTCTGATCTAAATAAACATTGTAAAGAAGTAGCGTTTTTCATGTTAGCAGTTGTCAATGGAAGTTATTTACTGGCAACAGAGGTCTAATATATCAGTCTATGGGCCACACTAACTATGCAAGGGCTGATGATAAGTTCTCAGTTTCTCAGAATGAAGTGGGTGAGTGACATTTGAACTCAGGACCTATAGGCTGAAAGCCGATTGAAAACACCTCAACCATTTTGGAGTGGTGTGAATAATAAACCATATGCATGTACATGCACTGAGGAATGAAGCAGAATTAAAATAAGAGGACTAAACATACATCGTGGTTACATGGACACCTGTAAGGTAAAGAGAGATTTTTATTTTATTTTATTTTTTTATTTAAAGCTTGATTCCACACCGTATTTTTTGTACAAGTATGGAATTTTCAGCATGGATATCGGTAGCCCAAATTTTGCAGGCCAACCATAGATATCAGGTGTGCGCCGGCCGGGATCGAACTTCGGACCATGTGCGTGGTCGGCGGGAGTCCTAACCGCTGTGCCACCGACCCAATAGCTTAAAACTGACTACTTCAACCAGTGAGTAAAATATTTCACAGGTAGCTGTTTTTTGGTACGGAATATCATATCGAAACCCAAAAAAAACAGGATTTATAATAGATGTACTGACTGAACAAGATTGTTGAATGTGAAATTACAGAGAAATAAACAGTATTATCTTTAAAAATGTACTCACTTCCGGGGAATCCATGTCCAATGGAATGAAGACTAGCTGCCAGTTCAGCATAACGTCTAGCTATCCAATGGGGACGAATAAGAGCATACATTTTCGGATGCAAACCAGCAGCACTGCCCCCAGTTGTATTAGGATTTCCTGGAGTAGACACATTGGCTTTTACCATATCACGTGCATCTGTACTAAAACTATTAACATCCAAATACTGTAACATTGAAGATATATGCACATCAAGTCTGTCAGTAACACGCACCCATAATGTTTCCGTCATTTTACTCCAAAAGCTATTGAATGAAAAATGAATAAAATTAAACCTTTAAAGTTGGATAAACGATAAAAATTCACAGTAGGATATTTCAATCCCTATCATAACAAACAACCATAACTAGATAAAGCAATAAGAAGACGTAATTTGTCTGAATCGTGTAATGTATTTGCGCAACACATTTCGAACAATTGCGCAAATACATTACACGATTCAGACAAATTATGTCTTCTTATTGCTTTATCTAAATTCATAAAGGGAACTAATTGTTTTAAACCATAACTAGCTTCGAAGTAAGTACTAGCATCATATAGATCACTTGTTATTTAATAACGTTACTCTATGCAAAGTTTTCGTAAACACAGTTTAAAGAACTACAGCTTGAAAAAGCTAGCAACTTTTACTGAGGCAAAATCAGGTTGTATTTACATTATACAGACAGAAGTCATGATAATACAGCATCACTGAATTAAGAAATAAGAGATAAATGTAAACAATTACCTTAACTATTATAAAACGGTACATTTTTGGGCTGTTGATGTTTAACTGTCTTCTTCAAATTAATCTAACGATGACAGAACATACTTAATAACTTGTTCTCATAGTAATGTAGAGCAAGCTGATCAATAACTAAATATTGAGCAACGATTTAAATATTTAATATTGTGTGTATTTTAGTTAACTGTTTATTATCGTGAAAAACATGTCAGTGTTTTATCAATACCTTACAACCAACAGCAGCGGAATAATAAAATGTCGCAGAAACATTAAATCATGCTTCATCTGTTTCAGAAGGTTAACTATTAAGAGATTTACCTACTAGTTTTCTGAATTTTGAATTGAATACACATACACACTCATGCATAAACATCCCCTCTTTTACAAACAAAAGATAAACGACGATTGGTGAACTAGTATTACACATAATTTATTTATACCAAAAGAGAAAATTTCAAAAGGCCAGATTTCAACACACATACACATACACAAATGAGGTAGCAGTCTAGTGATATGAAAGATCGAATAAGTGTTGGTGACACCTATACTTTGGAATCGGATTTTAAAACATACAGAAATTACCCAATTAGTGCACCTTTCATTTGTCCCTACCGAAAGTGGTGGTCGGGCTTGAACACCGCAATGTCCCAAAAGCTATACTGGCTAGGACTTATGTCTCTTGAGGTCTTACCATGCCGGAAAGGTTGTTTGGATAGCGGTTAGACAAAAAGCAGCTATCCAATCCAATACTATGCGTCGGTGGCACAGTGGTTAGGATCCTCGCCTACCATGCACATGGTCCGGGGTTCGAGCCCACGCCGACGCACACCTGATATCTATGGTCGGCCTGCGAATTTTGGGCTACCGATATCCACGCTGAAAAATTCCACACTTGTACCAAAAATACGGTGTGGAATCAAGCTGTAATCAAAAATAAAAAAAAATAAATAAATAAAAATATGACACAAACAAACAAAATATCATGCCTAATCAGTCGGGGCCCGGATTAACAACGACCGCGCTTCCTGCTGCCGTGTCACAGGGCAGAAGTGATAAGTACGCTACTGAGGCACACCAAACAAAAGAGAACGAACAAACACAGGCCGCGTGTGACCAGCCTCACGCAGCTGTCCCCTGGGCTCTGCGGTCACACAACCGACTTCCACGGTGTGGGCAGCCGGGAAGTAACAAACGCCCTCACAATCCGATATGCACACAAAACCTCTCTAATCCTCAATTATCTTTGTCTTCATCTTCATCTTTATTACCTTGCCTTCCTCCCACTGATGCAACTCCTCTACTTGATGGCTCCTCACTCATTCTTCACTCTGTGTCCACTAAAAACGACGGAAGCCAAAAAACCACCGATAGTCTCCTAAAGCCACGCCACCGATTTCATGTTGTTAATGTTAGGACACTTTGCCAAATAGGACAACAGGCATCCCGAGCCATTGATGTATGTTGTGTTTCAGAAACACGCATACACGACCCAAGTGTGGTTATTCACCTAGCCCCACCTGGCCAACAGGATAAATCTGCAAAATTCACCTTGAGGGTGTCAGGATATGCCACAGCTAGTTCACGAGGATTAGCTGGTGTAGGGATAGCTTTGAGTACTAGGGCAGAAAAGACACTGCTTGACTGGATCCCGGTAGATAGCCGAATGTGTGCTGTCCGTCTGAACGGATAAGTAAATAGGAGAAAGGACTGCACTACTCGCCGATGCCTTTTCGTAATCTCCGCCTACGCCCCCACTGACCGCAGTTCAGATGAAACGAAGGATGAGTTCTACCAAAAGCTGTCTAGTTTGCTGCGAAAGGCTAAACGCTCAAATATGGCCGTTCTAGCTGGTGACTTTAATGCTCAAGTAGGGAAATTGTGTCAATCTGAGAAGGATGTCGGTGGCACCTATGGAGTCCCGTGCCAGCGAACCGACAACGGTGACCGTCTCCTACAGTTCTGTTCAGATAATCATTTGTTTCTTGTAAGCACTATCTTCAAACACAAGGAGAGACACTGTTTGACTTGGCGACCCCCTTCATCAAACCAACGCTGGACACAAATAGACCACATAGCAATAAGTTATCGTTGGCGTAGGTCGGTAGGAGATTGTCGCTCCTTCTGGAACACGTGTGTAGATACCGATCATGCACTGGTCCGCGCTCGGGTGTGCTTACAACTGAATGGACGTAGGAAACAGCTGGCGGTAAAACCATCACGTCCCCAGCTCGATCAGGAAACTAAACCCCTATTTGAGGAAGAACTAGCTAAACACATATCTGAGTTTGACAGCTCCGCTCACCCTAAAGAAGCTTCGAAGAATATTCAGGCAGCCATAGATACAGATGTAAAGGCTGTGAATAAGGTAAACTCAAAGGTGAGTAAAAACCACTGGATCTCCACCGCCTCATCCGAACTGATAAATGCTAGAAGACTTATTCCGGCGAGCTCCGAATTCAAGCAGCGTCTGGGAATCAGAGGAAGTCCCGTCGGGTTGGTGTAAGTCACTGATTATCCTGATATACAAGAAGGGAGACAAGTCTTCCTATGATAATCACAGAGGGATTAGCTTGACTAATATGATATCTAAAGTTCTAGGCTCAATAACCATGCATTGCTAGTGGTCCTCGAGGGGAACAAACACGAGAGAACTAGCCAGACTTTAGGCCAGGAAGAGGGTGTATTGATCATATCTTCACCCTTCGACAGATTCTGGAACATAGGCATTTTTACCGGCGTCCAACAATCATTATATTTCTTGACCTGAAGGCGGCATTCCATTCTGTCGACCGAGAGGTTCTCTAGCGATGCTTGGCTGTAAGAGGAATGCCGAGAAAATGCACTGCACTGATCAAGGAACTCTACTCGAACACATGCAGTCAACCAGGTGAAAGCTTATGGCGAGTTGTTGGCTCAAATGGTGAAACCAGTGGTGTCCGTCAGGGATGTCCACCGTCTCGATTTCCATTTAGTTTCATCACAGACATACTAATGGAGTTAACCATAACTGACTTCAGCAACTCAGGGATTGACTTGTTACCAGGGTATATTCTCGTTGACTTAGAATATGCAGACGATATAGTCCTACTAGGCGAGGACGCTGACAAAATGCAGTCTTCTAAACACCTTGAGCTGCAATCTACGAATGTTTGGCATGCGATTTGCTCCCGCCAAATGTAAGATGATGTTACAGGACTGGACTACACTGACTCCTAGTTTAGAAATAGGGAGTGAAGTGGTAGAGCACGTTGACCGCTTCACTTATTTGGAAAGTACCATCAGCCAGTGCCAACAGGTTGATCTCCGACGAAATCTCAGCACGAATACAGGGGGCTCGTTTCGCATATCCCAGTTTACGCTGTCTCTGGCGTAGACGTGATATCCGGCTGACTATCGACCAAAGGGCGGGTGTACTGCTCATCAGTCCGCTCCGTCCTCCTTTATGGCTGTGAGACCTGGCCATTCAGAGTGGAAGACATGAAAAGCGTGGCTAGCTCTCTTTGATCATAGGTGCCTGCGTTCTATCTCCCGTGTGAAGTGGTGTAATAAGGTGAGCAATATTGAGGTTAGGCATCGGTCGAGTTCTAGGTAAGGAGGGGAAGTCAATCGACGAGGCTGTGAAGTTACATCAACTGAGATGGTTAGGACATGTGTTACGCATGCCTAGTCATCGCCTTCCTCGACGGTCAATGTTAGCTGACATAGGGGGTCAGGTTGGAAAAAGGCTAGCGGCGGTCAAACCAAAACATGGTGTAACAACAGAAGACAAGGGCCAGGCAACAGATCGTTTTATTATGAAAATCAACACGTATTTATACATCTTTCAACTACATTATTATAGACAAGCGCAGTCATCTGATTGGTTGTTTAGGTAGACAAACGCAGGCTTCTGATTGGTGGTTTCGGGATTCCTTGACAAATAGAGTTCTCTCTGCGAATCATATTCTGCCACGTTAACTTTGCTGTGATTGGTTGTTGACTCAGGCTTGTTCATATTTTCTCACGGCCCATATTAGTGACCTAGACCTTAACGTAGATTAGTGCCAACCAATCGGCTAGCAGCCTGCTCTCACCACAATGGCACCAGTCAATGAAATCTACAACAGTTAGTCTAAGCCACGTAGGAAGGTGTGGATTTCCTGGTTGGAGTCCTCGGGACGGTAAAACCCAATGGTTGGAAACAATTGGTGATATGGCTCAAAATCTTTCTCAATGGCGCAGATGCATACACTCCCTGTGACTTAGAATTTTTAATGAAACTGCTACATGGATTGTGGCGACTTGAACTGCCGTACACATGTGCAAAGTTTTGTGTCGAAAACAGACAGACAGACCTTTAATTTGTAGTCATGATCCTTTAAAGATTAACACAGATGAACAACATGTCTTTCTTAAACACAAATTTGGTACAATATGAACATCTACGCATATCCCAAGGGAAAGGAATTTAACAGGGCCAAAAAGGTTAACACACTTAACAGGTATAACCTCGCCAGATTACCAGCTTGCTAGGCTACTAGCTTGCTAGTTTTCTAGCCGGTCCCAAGCCCGGATAAAGAGAGAGGGTTGGGGCGTGGTGCTAGCAACTCCACCCCTGTAAAACAACCAAATCGCTACAGAAACTTCAACGAATAAATATATTAGAAATTCTACAAACATAAACAATAGCCTTACTTTTCGCTGGAATCGGGGAAGTGAAATGACGCAGGCTGGTCAAAGCCTTCGGGAAGCCAGTCGGCCGATGTGCCTTCTTTCGATGAAAGCAAAAGTAAGGATAAGTACCTGGAATGTTCGTACAATGTACGAAACTGGAAAGGCTGCCCAGATAGCCGCTGAAATGAGAAGGTACAGAATAGAAGTGTTGGGAATCTGCGAGAGCAGATGGAACGGAACTGGAAGGTGCCAACTACCTACTGGAGAGACAGTAATCTTTTCCGGCCACCCAGAGGACAACCACGAGCACACCGAGGGAGTGGCCATCATGATGTCACCAACAGCAACCAAAGCTCTCATGCAGTGGGAACCAATCTCCTCCAGGATAATGACAGCCAGGTTCAACTCAAAAGGAAGGAAAGTTACAGTCATTCAATGTTATGCGCCTACAAACGTCTCAGAACAAGAGAAGAAGGAGGCGTTCTACAGACAACTACAAGCAATAATGGACAACGTCCCAAATGGCGATATCAAAATCCTGATGGGCGACATGAATGCGAAGCTGGGAGGAGACAACACAGGAAGAGAACTCACCATGGGTCGAGAGGCCCTCGGTGAAATGAACGACAATGGTGAACTCTTCTCAGACTTCTGCGCCTTCAATGATTTATTGATTGGTGACAGCGTTTTCAAACACAAGGATATACACAAGACGACATGGATTTCACCAGATGGAAACACCAAAACCAAATAGACTTCATCTCAATTTCAAGAAAGTGGAGACGGAGCCTACTGGACACAAGGTCGAGGAGAGGAGCAGATGTGGGTTCAGACCACTATCTAGTACTAGGGACTTTCAAGGTGAAACTAAAAGCCTCGAGGATAGCTGGGGATAGGCCACAATGCAAGTTCAACACTCAAAAACTGAAGGACACAACCACAAAGGACACTTTCACTGCAACTGTCAGAGCAAAGCAGGAAACACTACGCGACATCACTGAAGAATCATGCGTGGAAGAACATTGGAAGATGATTCTCAACGAAACGTGTTCAACGGTTTTAGGAAGAAAGAAGAGACAAGACAAGGAATGGCTCTCAACGGACACTTGGAAGCTAATAGAGGAGAGGAGAATGGTGAAAGAGAAAATGATTCAATGCAAAGACGGACAGGAGAAGGAGATGCTGAGCTCAACTTACACAGCACTGGACAAAGAAGTGAAGAAGAGTGCTAGAAAGGACATAAGACAGTTCTACGACAATCTTGCCACTAAAGGCAGCAGGCAAAGGGGACCTGAGGGCATCACATCATCCACTTAAGACAAAACTCTACACACCGGAAACCTTACTGTTAATGACTAGACAAACATTGTGGCGGTTTATGATGTGACCCACTTCAGTTAACGTTGTTTAGGCCTTCTATATACGATTGAAAATTTCACCAGTCACCTCTCCATCAACATTCACACAACTATCCACGTAATTCTTACAGTCTAAAACAAATACTTTAGAAACAGCGGAAGTTCATTATGCATTCACACCATCAACGTCTGTGTTGACATTTGGTTCTGGACAAAATTAGTTTATCATTGAGCATTAGCTAAATTACGACTGTTAGTCCATTAACCACCTGAACGACTTCATTATCACCCCAAATTCCCGATCGCTATATTCAAGTTTTCAACTAGTACTACAACATCTATCCAGACCGTTTACTTCAGATAGCTCTAATTTTCTGTTAGCGCATGAGGCCAAAATCGAAAAAAATACAAACATGAAAGTTAACTAGTGGAAAAAAAGGAAGCAGACATAAACTGGATGCAAACAAACTCGCAAGATGTCCAGAATTTAGCATATGGTAGGAAATAAATAAATCTGCCGTATTACGAAGGATTCTGAAACACAGTAACGACAAAAGTTTGCATCAAGTATAAGTGCTATGTTGTTCACTTGAGTACACTAGTATATCCTAGCACGATACGATGTAATGATAACACAAGCAGATCACACGAAATAGGTAACTGCATTAGTGTCCCTGGACTCATATTGTGGAGGATAAAATTGATGAGGACAGATGCAACATTTATCCAAACAAACTAAAACCACACAACTATCGTCGCTTTTTCAGATGTAACGCTAAGAACCAGGTATATCTATCAAAAGCAGCACCCAACATAATATTACACGGTTATTAAACGACAATTGGGTTGAATCAACTCGCCTCACTGGATTAATAGTGAATCACTAAAACAAATAAGGAAAATCTGCATCATACGGAAAACTAAAAATAAGTGAAGTTCTGTCGCTCACACATATTATTAGCCAACCGATATAAACAAGGGTATACGAATTAAAAACTGAAGATATAACTGGAACTTACTTATCCAACACGGATACACCCCTTTCTTTGGCTAAACGCAACATAGCATGCAATAACTGAAGGCAGATCAGTAAACCGATTGCATCATGAGAACATGAAGAAATTACAAACGTCTCAGTATATTTTTGTATCCAATTTAAACTACGAGACATGACTTGGTCAAATAAATTAGCTAGGGCGACACCATTTTGTTTTCGATTTTCACTAGATGTAGTCTTATCAGATAGATCAGATTCTGCACTGAGAAGGAAGAAATCTGACAGGAAATAGTACTCTCGACATACAGTGTCCAGAAGAGCATAATGAATAGAACGGAATAAAACCTCTATAGGATACTACAAAATAAAAACAATATAAAGTGAGGGAAAAGGAAAAGCTCTTTATTAAAGAGTAACCAGTCAACCATTTGGAACACGAAAATACTTAAACACATTGCAAGTTTTTATACAGTACTAAATGACACGAAACAGGCATTTGAAAGCGGCTTGTGCTTGTCTGCAATGATCAACAGGACGAACCTGAAACCCAGGGGAATGAATATAAAATCTGCTATTTGTGTTCGACGTAAACATCCACTATGGTTTTTTTTATTAGAACCACGATATATCAATCAAGTAAGAATAATCAATTTAGTAAATGATCTCTCCGAGATCCAAACCTGCAACAAATTCATGAATTATCATAAAGCTGTTCAAGTAACCAATAAAACTCTGTATTACTGGAGTATATACAAAAGAACCAATGACTTAGGACTGTTGGTTATATGATTCTAAGTCGTTCTCAATGGTGGAGGTACATTGACTCTTTGTAATCCCTGAGATCCATCAGGTCTCAATTTTTCCTCTACATGTAATTATTCTTTCCCTGTACATTTTTTGGAATTCTTTATTCTTCTCTACCCTTTTGGGCTCTATGGGGTGTAGCAACTTGAACTGTTGCAAATTTTGTGCATAGTTCTACGTTGGAACTCAGTCAGTCAGTCATTTTTCACTCGAACTAATTCTATGGTGTCTACATTTGAAGAGCAAAAACACTCAGAATAACAAATTTTACCCATAACAGATTTGCCATACACCACGTTATGGGTCAAGCTTTTGTGAGGCTTAATCATACTATCGAGGAACTCAGAACAGGACATATTCACAAAGCCCATCGTTTAGTTCACTGTTTTAGCCAATGAACTCCATCTTCACAAGAATAGTAACAAAACAGTACAATTAAGTTAATCCACTTACTTTAGCTTCAGCATTACTGGCTACATGTGGCAAAATTATTGCACTTTCTAAATTTGAATTACTCAATACACGTAGTGCACGGTCACCTAATCCAAAAAGTCCAACACGCGTCCCTGAATTTATTGACGTTGAAATAGCAGTATTATTAGCAACATTAGAAATTGAATTGAACATTAAACTAGACGCAGTTGATGTTGAATTATATTTATCTGGATTTTTTCCTAATAAATCATCTTTCTCATAGGTCGTATCAAGCTGTGAATATCACGAAAAGAAGTACACTTTGCAGCATACATAAAATTAAATGGAAAAATAGGATACTGAATACATTTGCCTAAAACATGATAGTGATTGCAGCACAAAAGAAAACCTGGGTAGTGACATGACAATACTGAACAAAACCATTCTCGGTGGAGTCTAGAATGATAAGGAAGGATTCGCGAGTAACCAACGCAAGGTTAAAGAACGCAGCATCATCAGAACACAACAACTTTTCTAATCTTCCTTCGACCTCGATTATCATCTTTCAATAATAATAATAACAATAATAATAATAATCGATGAACAATGCCACTTAGTAAGATGTTACATGTGTCTTCTAAATTTTCATCAGTTTTACATGTTCAGACTGAAGGATATTACATGAAAACACATGCATATATCAACTTAAACGGGCAACCACAAACCAACTGGAAAAGATGAAAAACAAGTGTCCCATATAAAAGTGTAGTATTTGAGATATTTAGAAGACTTAACTGCTTAACATCAGACAATAAATTAGCCTGCGAGATATGTCTTTATGTTTCTGCCTATGATTTAATTTAAAAAGAACTAATTAGTCAGAATTCAATCTTCAATTACAAAAAATTTATTTTAATGATAAGTGTTAATACATGAATTGGGAGAAGCAAATAAATGATAAAAATAAAAACTTACTTGTAACCTTGTTAATTTGCCACCATAAGCCTTAAAATAAGAGTAGTAAACTTTACTCATTGTATTAATGTATTCCACCTTAACCTCCTTTGCTACTTCTCGATCATGAGACATAAGGAATGAATTATAAAATCTAAATACCAAAGGAGAGGAAATAAAACAAATACTGACAAATACATCTAGGAATAATAACAATAGATAACAAGATTATTGGATGAATGAGAAACGAACTGAAATGAACATTCAACGTAGAACCTTTGAAAAAAAAAGTGCGACAGTTTGAAATACCACAATTCATGAAGGCATTCAAAACGGTTAGAAAAAAAGTAATGAAAATGGACTGAATGTTTAAGGGAAAGAAGAATTACAGACAGAAGAGTTAAAATATAACAGATATAGGACTTCATTGATTGAATGCATCTGCGTCACTCAGGACGACTTACGCAATTTCACTAATACTCTCCAGACAATGGATACCAGCGTCTCGGAGGAAAATAGGTGGTGAAAGGCAAATGATACGTGAAACAATCTCTGAGGAAAGTGGTGCCATAACTAGCTCCCAGGATAAACGATTGGAACGCTGGAAAGAACGCTTTTAATTGACCTACAGCCACGCTCAACCTGCCAAAATTCAACACCTTCTTGAATGGGATATAGACACAGGTCCTCCGTCACTAACTGAGGTTACTAAAGCTGTCACCAATCTGAAACTAGGCAAAGCAGCGGGACCTGATGGAATGACGCCAGAGGTATTTAAGTACGGTGGAGACAGTTTACTGTCTGCATTAACTGAGGTACTAGGCAGCGTCTGGGAATCAGAAGAAGTCCCATCGGGTTGGTGTAAGTCACTGATTATCCTGATATACAAGAAGGGAGACAAGTCTTCCTATGATAATCACAGAGGGATTAGCTTGACTAATATGATATCTAAAGTTCTAGGCTCAATAACCATGCATTGACTAAGTGGTCCTCGAGGGGAACAAACACGAGAGAACTAGCCAGACTTTAGGCCAGGAAGAGGGTGTATTGATCATATCTTCACCCTTCGACAGATTCTGGAACATAGGCATTTTTACCGGCGTCCAACAATCATTATATTTCTTGACCTGAAGGCGGCATTCCATTCTGTCGACCGAGAGGTTCTCTAGCGATGCTTGGCTGTAAGAGGAATGCCGAGAAAATGCACTGCACTGATCAAGGAACTCTACTCGAACACATGCAGTCAACCAGGTGAAAGCTTATGGCGAGTTGTTGGCTCAAATGGTGAAACCAGTGGTGTCCGTCAGGGATGTCCACCGTCCTGATTTCCATTTAGTTTCATCACAGACATACTAATGGAGTTAACCATAACTGACTTCAGCAACTCAGGGATTGACTTGTTACCAGGGTATATTCTCGTTGACTTAGAATATGCAGACGATATAGTCCTACTAGGCGAGGACGCTGACAAAATGCAGTCTTCTAAACACCTTGAGCTGCAATCTACGAATGTTTGGCATGCGATTTGCTCCCGCCAAATGTAAGATGATGTTACAGGACTGGACTACACTGACTCCTAGTTTAGAAATAGGGAGTGAAGTGGTAGAGCACGTTGACCGCTTCACTTATTTGGAAAGTACCATCAGCCAGTGCCAACGGGTTGATCTCCGACGAAATCTCAGCACGAATACAGGGGGCTCGTTTCGCATATCCCAGTTTGCGCTGTCTCTGGCGTAGACGTGATATCCGGCTGACTATCGACCAAAGGGCGGGTGTACTGCTCATCAGTCCGCTCCGTCCTCCTTTATGGCTGTGAGACCTGGCCATTCAGAGTGGAAGACATGAAAAGCGTGGCTAGCTCTCTTTGATCATAGGTGCCTGCGTTCTATCTCCCGTGTGAAGTGGTATAATAAGGTGAGCAATATTGAGGTTAGGCATCGGTCGAGTTCTAGGTAAGGAGGGGAAGTCAATCGACGAGGCTGTGAAGTTACATCAACTGAGATGGTTAGGACATGTGTTACGCATGCCTAGTCATCGCCTTCCTCGACGGTCAATGTTAGCTGACATAGGGGGTCAGGTTGGAAAAAGGCTAGCGGTGGTCAAACCAAAACATGGCACCAGTCAATGCAATCTACAACAGTTAGTCTAAGCCACGTAGGAAGGTGTGGATTTCCTGGTTGGAGTCCTCGGGACGGTAAAACCCAATGGTTGGAAACAATTGGTGATATGGCTCAAAATCTTTCTCAATGGCGCAGATGCATACACTCCCTGTGACTTAAAATTTTTAATGAAACTATATTGTTCTTCGTTATTACTTTTTTTGTCTCATATTCCTGTCTACTATTTTTATTTTGCATTTTCTTCTACCTTGTTCTCTTGCTTTATGTGCTACATGAAGTGTGACGGTCCGAACTGCTGCACATCGGTGCAATGTTCCCGGTTGAAAACAGACAGACAGAGTCTCGGAGACCGAAAACAGGCAGTTTACAGTCTTCTACATTCAAAACTTCATGGATTGATACTATATTTGGAATGGATCACCCTATTTCTTTTCCAACCTAACCCTAAGTTAGCTATCATAGCCTAACGAGGAAGCTCATGACTCGGTGTATACGCGACACGTATCCGAGCCATAACAATCTTCACGACTTCAGAACATCACTTTCCCTTCTTACCTAAAACGCCATGCCTAATCTAAATATTACTTATTTTATACTGCCTAACACGGAAAACAAAATGCAAACAAATAAGGTCAAAGACAACCAGCTACTACTTTTACTTTTAACGTCAGTGTCTAATAGACGTAAAAAAGTCGAAGCAAACTGTTGCACAGTACACACATCCTTCAAATGATAATGCGATATTGCTTGGGATAACGTAAATTAGCAATCAAAAGAGCCTTTTGTATCCGAGAAGAGACTTTGTTTGAGAAAACGAGAAGTGAAGTTAGATTTCATAATTCTTGTATCCCTAACCTAAGACACACCCAAGCGACGCGACATACAGTTTACTTAATTTCCATGGTGAGGAAAATTATTAAAATGCAACCATGGCTTGTATTCTGATCAAATATAAAGTAACAGCACACTAATAACATCTGGAAGGACAATTTTTTTTATTTACAGCTTGATTCCACTCTGTATTTTTGGTACAAGTATGGAATTTTCAGCATGGATATCGGTAGCCCAAATTTTGCAAGCCGACCATAGATATCAGGTGTGCGTCGGCAGGGGATCGAACCTCGAACCATGTGCATGGTCGGCGAGAATCCTAACCACTATGCCACTGTGGATACTACAGTAGGAATAAGGCTTATATACAAGTCAAACTGCTCACTATCAGTAGAAACTTAAGAATATGTAATGAAACGAAATTTAATATATATTGCGTAGCTCTTACCTATAAATCGATTATCTCAATTGACTGTATGAGGCGAAGATAGTAGAATTACATCTCCCAGAGTTTTAAACGAAATTACTACGCAGAGTTTCAGGCAATATCCATTAATTTTATGTATATTCAGACTTGACACCAATGTCTTCTTTAAACAATAATTTTCATTAAGTCCCCTGTCTTACAGTTCCTATACTAATCTAACTCATGCAGTAAGCACGAATTGGAAGAAGAATGACCATAAAAATCAGTCTCTGAAATTTTTTCATTAAAAAAACACTGGCGTAAATCGCCGCTTTTGCACATGAAGTTCATGAAACAATGTTTTTGGTGCTTTCATCCATAAACTTATACTATCTCGAACGAATAGCATCAACGCTTTGTGGCAGAGCAGTAGAATGCAATGAACTACGGTACGTGAGCATTTGCAATGATTCCTACGAATTTTTAAACAAAACAAAAACAAAGTGCCTGACAGTAACAATTAGAATTCTACTAAGCAGTCAACCTGATATTCTAAAACAAGAAAATTCATTACCAAGTGAGTGAAACAGTAGTGGAAATACATACAAACATATACACTCACCGAAATTTTAACATCTGATTTTGAGGGACTTGGTAATTTGTAAGTGGTTTTCGTAAGGCATATATTTTTCCCAACAAAAACTCTCGAATTTTCGTCACAGCCTACAATAACACAAATAAATATTTAAAACAATTAGTCCCTTTGATAAATTTGATTACGGCATTAAGAAGACAAATTTCACGAGATGATATCATTTCGTAGTTTCTTTACAACCGCTTTACAACTAACATGGTTAACAATAATAAAATAAAGATCATGACAATTACTCAGTCAAATAAAAAACAAAAGTATACACTAATGACCAATCACATTTAGATAGGTCATGTAGTCCATCAAACGCACATTCTACGCCACACCTCTTTTTCTTATTTGCCGAACAGTTCCGATCCCTGTACCTACGATTAAAGGACGAAATTCTGTGGACTCTACTTCAAACTGTATCTACAAGTTCACCTGTAGTTGCGGTAACACCTATATAGGTAGAACCAACCGAACGTTCCAACGTTGTCGAAAATAACATGTTCCAAAATGGCTACTAAATCATATAGAAAATCCCAACCCGATCAGTCTGAATGGAAATCCAGCATCATCCATTGCAAAACACTTATTAATGTCAGGTCACAAAATCAACATTAATGACTGTTTCATAATTACTCTGTCACATAACTCTAATTCAAGGTTATTGAAGGTGATGTGATGGAAGCACTTTGGATTAATCACATACAGCCTAAACTGTGTGTACAAAAATCAATAGACTTCGATCTTCGCTTACCATGGATAACATGACCTATCTAAATATGATTGGTCATTAGTATATATGTTGTTTTTATTTAACTGAGTAATTGTCATGATCTTTATTTTATTATTGTTAACCATGTTAGTTGTAAAGCGGTTGTAAAGAAACTGCAAAATATCATCTCGCGAAATTTGTCTTCTTAATGCCTTATTCAAATAAATATTTACCGCTGCAGTATGACAGTGAAACATAAGAGAACAGATTAGTGTTGGTAAATTAAAAATATATTGTGAAGGTAAAAAGTAATCCAGAAAGCTGATGAAGTCAAAAACTGTATATCATACGGAAGTTATAAACAATCTTTGAAAAATACTTTTGTCATTTCTTTTAGAACTACTAACTTTATTATTCAGTAGGCAAATTTACATTGACGTCATTACGTGAAAACCAATAGAGCACCCCAGTTTAGTGATACCTTACGTTCCGATTCAACTTGCTTATAAAATTTAAAGAAAATAAATTACTCGCTTACCTTAATTTTTAGCTTTTTTAAAAGAACACTAACATCACTGAATGACTTATAATCTACAGTGGATTGCTCTAGGGCGAAATTCATTTTGTGATTTAATTCATGAAGATTTTCAAGAAATTCTTGTTCTGTGACAGGAGTGAGCAGAATATGACTAAAATAATTACAATAAACAAAGTAATGAGAGAAAAACTATTAAAACAAAAGTCTACAAGAAACATTAAAAATAAGATTAACAAAAATAGAAAGTGCATAAAACTCAAAAAATTTAATTGAATTCTTCTAACTCTAAATAACAATGGCACTAAACACTTGCTATGTATAACAATTATATCACTGTTAGCCTTAACATATGATCCAAACTATCCAAAAACATTATTTTAATATAAAATATTCTGTGCAATCCTCTTTAGCTGGTCCCACGATTGCCCATAATCTCTCATCTCCTTCTCATACGATCTCTTCCATGTTACCCTCGAAACAACGCCCAACGCCATCTTTTCCATTCGGGTTCCACTCGAGCTACGGCCTGGCGCGTAATGTCATTCGACAGTCTCCTCAGCCTATACCCGATCCAAATCCATTCTCTTCCACATATTTTTGAGCAGTAGGTTCTTGGTTGATCTGTTCCTACAGTTCCGTGTTGCTAATTCTTTCTGACCGGCTGTTTGATCTTCAATAAGGAACCAGCAAAGACAGGCGCTGATAAAGGTCTGCAACCAGCTGGAAATGATCTTCGTGTCGCCAATATCAAGTCTCTGACCCACATACAAGAACTGACTGACTTAACACGTGTGTTGAAATTCCGGATATTCTTCTTTGTGCTGAGTCCAGAACATTTCCAAAGGGATTACGGAGTGATGAGGGTGTCCTTTGGTTTTCCGATTCTGATTTTAACACCATCCGTTCCGCCTGTCGTCGAAACGATGATTCGTAGGCGAGTGAAGGAAGTGACCACTTTTAAATTTCTTCCGTTGATAGTGTCCAGTGCGGTTTATCGTTTTTGGTGGTTGGCTATCTTCATCACCTCCGTCTTCTCCATGCTCACTTGAAGTACTCTCTTCGCTAACTGCCTCTTCTGCCAATTTGCTGCTTTTCGTCTGCCTCTAAGTCTTCGACTTTCTGTGACACTAGACATAAATCATCCACGCGCGAAATCCATATCTTCTAGAGTCTTCTTAACGGTTAGTTCAACGCATTCCTGTCTTCTTACTCCACATGCACAATTTGACGCACAGTCTAGTCCACCACAATTAAGCATATCATCGGTGATAACTGGCAGCCAGTCTTGTCTTACTCCTGTATTCACTTCAAACGCCTCACTGAGTTTTCCGTTGTGGATCACCTGACAAATGGCACTGTCATACAACCAACTGTTGAATGAGGTTGATAAAGACTTGGGCACTGCGCGCCGTAGTGTTGAAGCAGTTTCCAAATTACGTCTCGGTCAACGCTGTCTGGTGAAGGCCTTTCCGAAGTCGATGAAGTTGAAGTAGAGATTTGACTAACATTCTATGCTCCATCCGATGATGATGCGTGGAGTTGGAATTCAGTCTGCATATGATTTGTCGTTGCTGAACCCAGCCTGTTCTGGCGGGCGTAGTTCTGTATCCAGTTCATCTTTTATTCTCTCCAAGATGAGGTGATCTAGCATTTTACTTAGTGTGGACAAGAGCACGCCAGTTCTTGCAGAGTGAGGCGCAAGTCGCCAATCTTCGGTAGCTCGACAAGGTGGACATCCCTTCTTCCAATCGGTAGGCAACTTTCCTTCTCTCCAAACCTTTTGTAATAATGGCTTCAGCACATCCGCCACAGTGTATGTGTCCGTTCTCAGTGACCCTACTGTATTAGTGTTTTGGTTGCCACTGGTGACACCATGACAACCACTTAATGCCTCAATGCGCTCGTGGTTGTCGTCTGAGTGACCGAAGTACATCAATAACTCGCCAGTTGAAAATTTCGACAGTCTACATCCAATCCATCTGCTCTCACAGATTCCCAGCACTTCTACATCATATCTTCGCATTTCTTTGGCTACTTGGGCAGCCTTCCCAGTCTCGTGCACTACACACGCACATTCCATGTCCATATTCTTATTCTTGCTTACCGGCTGGCTGACTTGTTCCCCGAAGGCTTTCTCTAGGCCGCATCATTTTGCCTCTCCGACTCCAGCGAAGAATAAGTTTGTTGTTTGGATTTCTTGTATTTTTTATATATCTTCGTGCGCTGAAGTTTCTCTAGCAGTTTGAATGGTTTTGTGGGGTAGGGTCGCTAACCCTACGCGCAGTCCTCCCTCTTTACCCGGGCTTGACTGGCCAGAAAACTAGCATGCTAATAAATTAGGTGAGGTTATTTAGAAACTTTTACCAAATAATAATTCAATATGCATTGTAGTATCCCAAATACAGGAAAGGATGCTTACCGAATAAGCTCTTCAGGTATGGCCATGTCAGAGAGAAACTGACTCAAATTACTACGAACAGCCTACAGAAAAATAAAATAATAGTTTACAAACCCCAACCACGGTTTGTTGTCATGTGAGCATAATAAAAAATACTTGATCAACTATCTAGATCACACCTGGTGTGGTGGTAGCCAGTTGTGAAGGCCGAAATTTCAGAAGCCAGTGGTCGATAACCAAGGAATTACAACTACACAGTGCATTACACGCATACAAAAAATTTAGAAACATAAATGTTTGGGAGCTTCAAAATACAGATGTCTATACAGAGAACTTCAGCCTATACACGGTACCTGTTCCTAGCTTCTGCATTATTTCCGAAGTTATTAAATTTCCATCATTCTACAAGACTGTTTCATTTACCATGGCTTTTTCATGACACGTTTATTTATCCCCATTTCTTGGGAATTTTTTATCCAACCCTTTGAGGTAGTTGCAACGACCTTCAAGCAACTTGCATTTGAGCATCTTTCGCTCACCGTGCTGTTCTGAACCGACCAGTTTTAGTCCGGAAACGGTTACATGAAGGTACTGGCATTTCCTAATTTTTTACGAGAGTTATCAAATATCTTCACTACCATTCCTACAGAAAGCTGAATATATTGTCAAGCTTCCAAATGAATTTTGCCATCATGCACAAATTAATGTGTATTTAGTTCTTTATTAAATACAGAACTCACATTTTATTGTTAAGTCCCACGTGCAGGCTTGCCACAACCATCAGAACGCATGAATGCACGTGTACAGGCTAACAGATGATCAGAATTTATGCAGATATCTTAGAAAGCATAACAGTCTCCTTCATAGATAAGTTATTACAAAAGTGCATGTTTATGCCTATTGTTGTCTTGATTTTTGACTTGAATATGTTTATCCCTATGTTTAGAGTTAGTCCTGTCCAGGAGTATATGGTTCTCTCAATAAAACTGTAATAAAATCACCCCAACCACTCGTCGGTTTAGAATGCTACAGATATCTAAATATGCTTCTCCCAATGCTTTTCCTACCTGGACATTCAAACCATCTATTAACACGGTTATACTCCAATGTTTGGCTTTTTGCTTCAAAATGGACAACTTATGATAAAACTCATCCTTCAATTCGTCTGGACTGCAACCAATGGTGTATAAGCGGAGATTGATAAAAGGAACAGACGACATTCACTGTCATTATTACAGAACAGTTCAATCGGATATTACACAAATAGCTGTTTGCTAGGACAGTCAGGCACTGTTTTCTACTCTAGAGTTATGTGCTATCACTACACCATGAGAATTAGCCGAAAAAGCTACTGACGCATGAAGGACGAATCTTGTATATTCATCACTGGATGGGCGAATGCGATGTTAATAAGCACATTTTGATCTTTTACATATGTCCTATAAGTACAGCAAACATTCGGAACCCAAGATTCCAATTTTGTTCAGTAAAACCTGGTGTTTTCTTCAGCCTAAGTTTGGGAATTTAAAGGTTCGTTACGGAGTTGGTACTGTGAACAGGGATGCTGTTTCTCTAGCATAAGTAGCTGAAAATAATAAAGAAGTTAACAATAGATTGAGATATTGTATGAGGACTATTAGTAGTCGGAAGTAAGCAAGAAAAAAGCGGGCGATGAACTAAAGCATTGTGTGCTCTAATGGAAAACTATGGGTAGGTGTTATATCCAAATCAATTTCTCTTGGAGTACCTGACATAAAAAGCAGTTGTTTTGGTTGGCAACAGAGCCAGAGAGACAACTGCTTCACACTGGGTTGATGAAAATAATCCTTCACAGCTGCAATATTCCAATTTGCAAGCAGTACGGCTTTGACTTCAGACTCTCACTAATGTTCATTACTTACCTTAGGGTGGTAACAGTTTTTAGTCTAACCTCTATTCAACCAAGATTTTGGAATGACAAACTACAGAAACATTCTTTTTAACCAGTTGTCAGTTAGACAACAGGATACCTCAGTATCTCACTCAGCATCTGTGTATATAAATTGTTTGCATCCGATGGTGAGACGAAACGAGCAGAGTTTGTAACCTTATTACTTATTTCAGAAGCATTTTCTAAATATGCAATACGCAACAAATATCTAACACCTTAGTTAAATACAAAACTTCAACATACACGACTTCCACACTTTGAAATAAATGGTTCGGATTAATATCGGTATCCCCAATAATTACTGCAGTCAATTTTAAGGCGAATTAGACCATCACTTCAATGCAACTATAAGTCTATATCAACCTTATTGAATCAGAAAGACTGAATTTCCACTTGTAAATCTTCCTCATGCAGGAAATACTGTATACTACAGTTGCAATTCCTAACTACAAAGTTATTCATAATTCCACGTGTTTAAGTACAGTACAATGAAACGAAAATAAAACTAAAATTGTACCTGTCTGTTTTGCAGCCTAGTATTCATTATCAATGATTTGCTCTGCAAATCTTGAATTTCTGTACTGATTGCACCCAAATCTTCATGAAAACTCGTTAATATACCCTCAATTCTCTTAATTATTACAGGAATATACACAATATCGTCATACCTCCAGGATAGAATCACAAGCAGAAATCTGATTATGCAAACTAGCCACTTCAGGACTGACTGTTATATCTATTGGAATTTGAATATTTGAATCTAATAACATACATGTTTTTACGAGGATTCCTCTATCTTCGACAACTCCGACTCCACTTGGGCGGCATAATCCCGTACATCAATACCCTAAAATTTTTGAATATAAAGATTTATTGACATACCGATTTTAGAGCGATTTCCTCTATTTCTGTTTTCAATGACTCCGGAAAAGTGACTGAAGTTACATTGAGCTACTAAGGAAATATCTCACCATCAACATCCATCGCTAAAAGCAGCAATTGAGAGGACAAATTTAAGCGGACTACTGGTTGCCTAAATCCATCAAATATTAGGTCACTTTATCTTCCTATAGTTTGAGACTATAAAGAAAAATCAGAATCTTCAACAATGAGGCGTGAATAAGGCGTAAACAAAATAAGTTTCAGATTTAATCCAAGCACAACATTAATTTCGAAAATGTTATTACGTTCCACCATGTCAATTTTTTCTTACCACAGGTTAATCGACGAAGACTAAAGCAGTTTTCCAGGTCGTGAGCCATATAACTATGAGTTGATGCTAGTACCCAGTTACTCAGGCAAAGAAAGCGCAGCGGGATCTATTGATTGAAAGTCGAGTGTTTAAGCTAATTTACCAAATGCAGTTAGAATGAACCTCCATATATCTAGTGACAGCAAACTACTGAGTGGAAAAAGCTTGTTAGTAATACATCTGTAAACGGTTTTTAGATTTCAGGATAAAGACGAAAGCACTAGTGGGGTAGGATTTTCAATAACCTCATCTCCCTCTGCAGAGATTCTGAATTAAATCTCAGTAATTCTGAAACAATTCTAGCATCCTATAGTGAGTAAATTCTGAATTTATTCTGAAATCGTTTGTTTAATTGCACAGACTAGAACTCAGTGCTAGTTTTCAGCATAACTAGCGCTAATTCAGTACCGTGTTCTTCTTTTAAGCATTGTCAGGAGCAGATAAGAACCTATCGGGTTTGCTTATCAGCTTTATTTCAGCCCTTTCAGAACATTTTCAGCACTGACTAGCATTACTTTAGAACGAAAAGACTTTTACTACCTGTGTCCTACGCCGGCGCCATTCATTTAGTTTACAGAAGAAATCAGTTTTTATAATTGAGACTTTTGTATTTATAAACTGTAGTACAAAAGGCATTATCAACGCATAGGTTAGAATAAGTTTAGAATTTTTGTAAGCTTGGGTGCAAATTTATGAAAACTCCGGAAATTGTGGTTCTAGAAACATTTTTGATCACTTCAAAATTATGAATAATATATTAAGATTTCAGAATACCTACAACTCAACAAATGAATTGTGTAGTCAGCAAAGCAAGGCGGGAGTTTCTGGAGCACTTCTCGCATGGCTGAAAGATTACTTAGGTGAGAGAGAATTCTGCACCAAAGTCAACCGCATACGATCATCCTGGCACACCTCGGCATCAGGGGTTCCTCAGGGTTCTATCCTAGGGCCGTTGATGTTTTTGATTTTTATCAATGACCTGCCCCCCCCAACTAAACTGCTCTGCGCTTCTTTACGCTGACGACGTAAAGATTTGGAGAGCAATAAACTCATCGGAAGACTCAGACAGATTGCAGGCTGACCTGCAAACTCTGGGAAACTGGGCTCTGGCTAACGGAATGCCTTTCAACCTAAAGAAGTGCAAAGTAGTGCAACTTCATTCCGGCAGGTCACAGAGTGTAAATTACACCCTTGGTGGCCAGAACTTGAGTTGTGTTCCATCAGAGCGAGATCTAGGTCTTATTCTAACAGAAAAGCTAGACACCAGTGGAAATTACTCGAGGGACGTCGCCAAAGCCTACGCAACTTTACACTTTATGCATAGGCAGCTGGGAGCTCTCACTCCCGAACTGTTCTTAAGGTTATATAAGGCATATGTGAGGCCACACCTTGAGGTGCATAATATCATTGCACCTCCGCTACTCAAAAGGGATGCTAACATTCTAGAAAGTGTCCAGAGACGAGCGACAAAATGGGTGATCGGCCTCCGCAACAAATCATATGAGGAACGACTAAAGAAATTAGGTCTTTTCACACTTAGTTACCGAAGGCACAGGGGAGACCTCATCACCGTCTACCAGATCCTAAATGACCAGGCCCACCCAAATAAAAGCATCCTGCCATTAAGTGATTATAGGCTTCCACGAGGTAACCCGCTAAGGATAGCACACCAGAGACCAAAGACTCGAGTGCGATCACATTTCTTTTCGCTTCGTGTTTGCCGTCTCTGGAACGCTTTACCGGCGGCCGTGACTACAGCGCCATCTCTGGAGATTTTTAAGCGGAAGCTAGACAATCATGCAGAAATGCAAGGTTTGTGTCTCAATGGCTTATCCTCATAAAACTTGAAACCACACTGTCGATGGATAAGCGTACAAACTAAATCCCCACGACCTATTCTGCCTTCTCTCACTCTATCTTTTCCTTAGGTCACCTTTATTATTCCACTTATCTCAACCTATATTATCTACACTACAACCTATTATTTATTATTTATATTACTATTCTGCTTTTATGACTACACCGAATGATCAACGGGAGTTAGGTCAAACTCCATTCACGGCAGCAATACAGTCCTAACATACTGCATACTACAAACCACATCTCGACCAATCCCCGCACCACTCCTCTTGGAGTCTACCAGAGCTAAAGCAGTCGAGTGGCGGGACTTACTACGCAGAAGCTCACCGAAGATCTGGAACCTCTACCTCACAATCAAGAAGCGAGCTCAAAGAAATCACTGGTTTATACTAGCTCGTAATCAGGATATTGGAACTCAGTTTACAAGCGATGAAAATTATAATCACATAAAATGTCACATTATCAACTGAAGTGAGAAAAGTTTTTTCATTTGGTGATACTACACTTTACATACTAGCGTTAAATAGGTCAGACCGGCGACTACTAATCTACAAAGTATTTAGTTACGAAGCATATGGCGATAAACAATAACAATCAGGAACCATGTTATAAAAATTAGGAAGAACATATGTTATTCATTAAAATAACTCTCTACTATAGCAGCCCAAAGCGAAACTATCTCATGAACGAATTGATGGTCTTGGCAGATTTATTAGCAGAGATTGGTTTAACCTGACTTGAGGACTTCTGTGAGAAACTGGGAGGTTTTCTTCGGAAATATACAAGAATATTATCTTATGTAACCAATTTTTAACATCGTATTACTTGTTTATAGGCGTCTATTTCGAATTGTGCACTTCTACTTCTTACGAACCTGATTGGTCGCTAGAAGTAGTTTCGTTTTGGGCTGCTATAGTTTAAGTCATTGGTGAATAGAATATATGACAGACTCCCGGGAAGCCAGTGTTCGGTTCTAATTTAGTTTCTGAAGACCTTCTGAACAAAATGTGATTGCCCGCATTCTTATCACAGTATGAGAATTAAGGGACTCACTGAGTGAAAGCAAAAAAGCTTGTGAGAAGCCTCGCTTTAATCTAGTAGCGTTTCTCTTGAACGTCCCGCTCAATGTGTACTTCGGAAGCCAGAATCGATTTTATTGGCTTTTCTAAACCGAATTAACTTAATTGAATACTCTCATTGATTGTGAAACAACTTTCGGTGGATTTAAAGGGAAACTGAAAGAGATGCTTGTATTTCCTATTAACATTCAGTGGAGGATGAATAACTAAACCATCCTTCTTAAAGTTCATACCTATGTGCTAAAAATATGCGTTTGGCTGGAACCAACTTTACAGTTGATCTGCTTTGTGAGCCGGTATTACTAGCTAATCAAGCAAATCATAGAGATATTTACATTATATTCATACATTCACATAGCTTCAAAGACTCAACCTTCCGTGACTACTAACATTTTAAACTAATCTGCCACGCATTGTGTGTCACACTACTCGGCGTTACCTGTCTGTTGTGGACTTCAAATTACTTCTTCTTGACAAATTCCTGTTAAATCCTTAACATATTCCTTTCTATCAACCTTAAGTAACAGCATTTTAGCGGGCTCTTGACCGTTCATTCCCCTTGTTGCTGATGACACTTATTTGTTTTGGCATCCTGTTACGGTTACTGTTACACTACAGTAATAACAAGTAATAATAGTCTTAGCATATAAAAGGACAAGTCCACACGGTGAGAACATCATCATACTCACTTACCGAATATGCTAAAATTTCATTATCATATTAAAAGCTAAATGAATGTGTTAGGACTACACATTAACTAATTCTCAACAATAATACGCCCACTGTTGTCAGTCTACCAGAGATTAAATAACTTTTTAACCCATACTCATGGAACTCCAGTTTAACGAGCCATAAATACTCCTGCATACTGTCCACTCCATCACATTTATCTCACTGCTACCAACTGCAACAAAGTAATTTACAGATGTGGATTTCAAGATATCACCGATTCGGTCTCGAACCATGCAGTGACAGCTAAGCCATAATAACGCAGATTTGCAATAATCGCACCTGCCCTCCATCATCCAACCAAGAAGTGATCCCATTCAATGGCACATCATAACTGGCTGGTTACATAAAGGTGGAGAATCACCTAATTGAATCTTCCACACTCTATTTTGCGTTACTGTATTCGCCCAAAGGCTCTTTGCGTAGCTAGAATCCAAAAGTGGTAAAAGCCGTTTTTGCTAAGCCCATTTACCGCAGTTACAATACCCCTACATAAAAATCATTATGAGTGGTGATGGAGAATAAGGTTTGGGGCTCACCACTAGTGTTCATGATCATCTTGCCGTACACCTTACGCTTCCACAAATACTGGAAGTATTTCCTATGTCCTTGTTGGAAATAGGGATCCTGACGGAATTAATCATATTCTGATAGTATCTGCATATCTAAAGCCTCAAGTAACTTAATCAGATTATTCTCTTCTGACCAGGTGTATACCCACAAATCACAAATTACATCTATCAATCATCTGCTATTCTCGTGCCTGGTTTCTGAAGACATTAGCGTGCTGAAGCCTCTCACTTAATCAAAATAGCTTTAAAAACAGAACCCATATTTTGAATTGTCATCCACTGAAAAAATACAAAGACCTTTTCATATCCGTTATTGGCTGGAAGTGTGTTTTCAATAGGATCACAGTAAAAGGACCTGAAAGGCCTGAGTCCTTCAAACTTCCTGACAAATCGTGTTGTCTTAATGTATATTCTGTAATAAATACGTAAATGTATATTCAAATTTTGATCTGTCTCTTATTGGTTTTAAGGAGTGGATAATTTTAGTGGTTT